CCCACATCCACACCACGTACTTTCTCGGCCCAGATCGACCCCCAAACCATAATGGAAATGTTGGCTTTAACATAGTTCTTGAGGTTCACGAATTCCTTTTTGAATTTCTCGCTCGGGTAACGAAAAACCCACGCGGTTGGGCTCGAGGAGGAGTTTTGGCAGGAGGACTCGTCGGAGTAGATCATCTGTGCTGTTAGCTATGGCGCGTCGACAACTTTGTATGCACGTACCGCCTTCACCTCGTCCAGGTTCTGTAATCCCTAGCATGCAAAGGCATATCTGGCCCTGGCGTCCTCCTTGGATAATGGGATTCTTTTCTGGGACCTCCATTTCCGGAGTTTTTCCTTCTGGAGTTGCCGTCGCACCGTAGATTTGGATACATCAAAGGGTAGACCTCGGATTACATCTCTCCACGACGCGTTACGGTTCCTTTTGCAAATTGTAAGCATGCTACGTCGCTGACGGTCCGTAAAACCCTTACGCCCTCTGCTAGGTCTTTTTAAGAAAGATTTGTAGAGTTTGAGCTGGTTTTTCCAGCGTTGAATGGAGGAGCGGCTGGTACGAAAGCGACGCGCGACTTCGCGTTGAGACATTCCACCATAGTGTAGCCCCAACGCGAAGGCCTTTTTCTTCGGGGAAAAGTCCATACCGGGCTTCTGATCCCGTAGAATGGGATTCAAGATTTCGTCTAGTTCATCGGCCATTTTAAACGTGTTGTGGTAAAAAAGAAAAGAAGGTGTAAGTCGCGTATACCACGCGTAACGCGACTTTTTAAGTGGGTGGACCGAGTAAAATTGATACCCCACTGTAGGCAAAACCCACACCCACGCACGCGCCTACCGAGGACCCTGGCCGTGTTACGACGCTCGCTGTATCTGGTAAGCAAGTCACAGGCTTTTAGAGCATACATGAATCTTGTTTCCCAGCAATCAGTATGCAGTCTCTTTCTAGAATCCTTCCATCTTGCAAGCCACATTAATCAATTGAACACAGAGCAATCGAATAAAAGAGTCAATCACTCTAGAATGGGAAGCTCAGCGACAGTGTTCACAGGCTCAGTACGAGTACAGTACGAGCACAACACGAATACACACTTCATACCTACACATAGACACATATTAAATAGATATTTGTTACTGGCGGCCAATCCACTAGACTTGGCAGCCGGGTCCGACAAACAGCGCCTAGTCTTACGTATCCCGTACTATAAGTGCCCTAGTCCTCCGGCGAGGTTTCAGTGATCCACATGTCAAACAATACCCACCATCCCGGAGCAGCAGAACACTTTCAGTATCGGTTCCTAACTGACCTTTTAGGTACGCATATTCCTTTCTCACCATTCTTGTCAGTGGTTCGGCAAAAACGGAGATCTTCGGTCAATGTCCAGCTCCTGTTCACATGCTTTGACCTAGGTTTACTTTTCTGTTCTATTTTCACCTTTTACAAACCCGAACTTTTCGGATTCTCGAGGCCATGTTATTGGGCGCACCGATTTAGAACAATTCCCCGGGTGTGCCGAACGGCCGACAAAATGTTTGGGGCAATTTTCAGGTGCAAGTGTCGCATCAAGGCTTGATGAGCCTCATGCGGCTCAAGAAAGTAAAGGGGGGTGAGCGTTTCTCATCACAAAACACGGCAGATGATTTTCTTACGCCACAGAACTTATGGGACTAGCGAGGCTGATATAGCAATGCTTGTTTTGTTCTTCTTAAATGTTTGAATATACACTGCAAACTGGAATAGCTAAATTAAACCAAGGACTGAATCATTTACCAAAAGGCATGTTTTTCTTGTGGTTGGCCTTGAGAAAACACACTCCAAACTAGAATCTCGCCTCAACCTTCTGCTCGGTGTCCTGCAGCGCCCAGTCGCTCGACCTGTTCTTGCTGCGGACGGCCGTGGCCTGCGCCGCAGTGAAGCCCTTGGCCTCGACGGCCGGGTTGTAGCCGAGCTTGTTGGCCTTGCCGATGGCGGCCGAGTCAATCTTGGGCGCCTCGCTCCGGTCGGGGCGGCAGTAGACGGTGACGACGACGGCGCCGCCGAGGCCCAGGTTGTGCTGCAGCGCCCACTTTGTGTGCGGCACCGCGCGGTTGTTGGCCCAGCCGCGCAGGTGCCAGACCAGCTCGGCGCACTGCGCAATGCCCGTGGCGCCCAGCGGGTGGCCCTTGGAGATGAGACCGCCCGACGGGTTGATGACCATCTTGCCCCCGTAGGTGATGTCGCCCCGGCGCACCATCTCGTGCGCCTTGCCCTTTTCGCTCAGACCCAGCGCGTCAATGGTGATCATCTCGTTGGCCGAGAAGCAGTCGTGCAGCTCGCAGACCTGGACGTCGCTGGGCTTGATGCCCGCCTCGGCCATGGCCGTCTTGGCTGCGTATTGGGTCATCTCGTAGCCCATCAAGTCAATAGAGCTCTTGGAGAAGAGACTCGGCGCGTCTGTAGCCAGGGTCTGACCGGCAATGAGAATGGCTTGATCCTTCAAATGAGGTCGGGCATCCAGGAAGTCCTGAGATACAAGAACCGCGGCTGCACCACCGTCCGAGGTAGGGCAGCATTGAAGCTTGGTGAGAGGTTCGTGGATCATGGGTGCTTTCTGAATCTGCTCCAAACTGTAAACATCTTGGAACTGCGAGTATGGGTTGCGGATGGAGTGTTCATGGTTAATTCTGCCAATCTCGGCAAAGTCCTCGGCCTTGGCGCCGTATCTGGTGTCCAGTTAGTTATAAAATATTCATGGAATGAGTGAAACTAGATGTCGGTATACTCACTTCTCCATGTACTCCCGGCCGGCATTGCCAAACATTTGAGCGGCGCCGGGGGCGTTGGTCACACCCCGTGTCGCAGCCATCATCTTGGCCGTGGTGCCAGTGGGGTTCTCGCGGTCATTGAAGAAGCTCTGGAGACTGCCGCGCATCATCTTCTCGAAGCCGACGACGAGGACGCAGTCGGCGCCGCCGTGGGCAACCGCCATGCGGCCGAGGGCCAGGCCGGTGGAGCCGGTCGAGCAGTTGTTGTTGACATTGACAATGGGGATCTGGGTCATGCCAAACTGGTAAAAGACGCGCTGGCCGCAGGTCGAGTCGCCGTAGCAGTAGCAGGCAAACCCTTGCTCGACGTCGTCGTAGCTGATTTGCGCGTCGAGCATGGCCTTGACGCCCGCCTCAAAGCCCAGCTCCGTGTAGTCGACCTTGCCTCGGGGCTTGATGAACTTGGTCATGCCCACGCCCAGCACGTAGACGGGGGCTCTCTTCTTTGGCGGCATCTTGGCAAACTAGGTTTGTAATGTGTGTCTGGGTTGGTTCTATGTACTTGTCCAAACTACTATGCCTGGACTGTTTGTATATGTAAGTTCAAAGGCGCAATCGCAAGTTGTCGGCTTCTCTCCCCAGGTATGAAGATGAAATATCAATACAAGTATCCGAGAAAGCCGGGAACTGTCTGTAGTTGCAGCTTACAGATTTAAATAGCGTCGTCGGGAAACGGCTTTCGTTTTACAGCCGTGGCGAAACCCCCCCTAGATTCACAGCAGACAGTTGGCTGGGAACGAGATGCCAGCCATTTCGGGAATATCTTCCCCATAATCCATCGGCCTGACAATTGCGGGGGAGCCGAGGTTGACTTGTCCAGCGGTTGTCGGTCATTCGCTGGGGGTTAATCAAGACAGGGCAGGATCCGCTCAACTCGGCGCTGTCGCTCCACTGGGCTTATGGTTACCCCAGACTGCACGGGCCACAACCGCGCTCTATGGCTTGCTAGTGTATAATTTCACAGTGGAGTAAACTTGGCTTTGGTCAATTTACCTAGGTTGCCAGGCACGTTTTTTGTTTGTATGAACCTTTGTGATTATCATGATGAGGGATAAAGAGATTATATTAATGCTTTATGCCAGATCATAGAGTCTATATATACTCAAGAGTTGATTTGGCTACTTGAAGAACATACATCATTAAATGCCTACAAAGAAAGAAGTATTGCGAGCACTCCAGATCATGCCTCCATCTATCAACCATCATCACTCATACATCAAAGTTGGCGGATACCGAGGCAAGATATAGTTTTATGAGCCCTCATATCTCCTCATATCTCCTTGTCACCGTAATTACCGGAACCGAAAACCCCGGGAATCGGCGGCCGTTGTGATTTGAAACCATTTGTTATCAGCCACCAATTTTGTTACTGAATCTGCCCGTGCGGCCGCACTGAATACATAGCTGAACCACGGGAAGCTAAATCCCTATCCAACTTGTGCAGTGTTCTAGGCTGGAAAACATAAACCTTGGAATGCAAATTTATATTCGGCTCAAAGCAGGAGCTGAGTTACATGTTATGTACGGATGTCATGAATCGAACAGGTCAGACCCAACACCAAGCAGCTTCCTCTCCAAAAAGCAAAAATGCTTGTTCCCAGTTTTTTTCAACAAGAAGACCACGCCAAGACCCAATGATATCGCGCAAGGGGGAATCCTGGCAAGCAACAGAATGATAAACGTACACGAACACGCCTCGGGAAACAGTTTCTCGAGATGGTGAAGGAGAACAACCAGAGATGAGAATGAAAATAGCCCAACCCTTTCCCCCCAGATGCGCCCCAGTTCATGCCAAAGAAAAAGAATTCACAAAATGCCCTACCCTTTCCTTTACATCAAGTCCATCCCAGTCCAGTCGTTACCGCTCCATAAGTCATTCAAATCCATTCCAATGAGTTCCAGTCCCGAGTTGAGCTCTGGGTTGGGCATCATGGGCGCCGCATCAGTCGTCGGCGGCAGCAACCACGGCATCGACAGCGGAAGCCCATCACGGTGGTACGGCGCCGTGCCCAGCTGCATCGAGTTGACGGGTGTGCCGTCGGCAGAGCAAGGGGGCGTCTGCTTGGGCCGCCCCGGCGTCGGGTGCTGGTCCTGACCACCAGGACCACGAGACATGGGCCCAGCGGGGGCACCACCATGCCCGTCCTCGGCGTCTGGATCGGGAAACGGTGGTATCTGGTATGCCAGTAGCTTGTAGTGCAGACTGATGAAGCGTTCTGCTGCCGACGCCTTGGCATTCTCAAACGTCTTCTTGCCTAGATGGGTCTCGAGGAGACCCAGCGCGGCGCACATGGATGAGTAGCCCCACGGGTCATTGTTGCCACAGCGCAGGATGCGGTCCTCCTTGATTGATATCATGGTCGCAATGAGCTTGAGCGTTTCCTCAATGTTGCACATGACCAAGCTTGTTGAGCCTGGCAGGGGGTGTTAGCCAACAGTAACCACAGACTTCAAATAGCATAACTTTACCTTTGGGCTGATGCAGCGAGACGCTGCAGAGGCTTATTGCCGCGTGCATAATGTCTTCCCGTAGATAGTAGAGCGTGCGGATACCCTTTTGGAAGAGCCGATGGTGCATCATGGCAATATCACGAGCCGCTGTGTAGTACATGAATTCGGCATACTGATACTTTGAGTTGTGTTGCCTCAGTCTAAGATATGGTTGAAGCAGTGGGATCAGATATTGCCGCAACTGGATATGCAGCAGCGTGTGTGCAAGCACGGGCTTCCGGGAGTCATTGGTCTTGTTCAGCTCCTCGTTATCCCATGGCGGCAGGCCGTCAATCTCAGTCGTGATCATCTCACAATAACTAGTGACTCGATCCCAATCGAGATCCACCATTGGACCCGTCATGACTCGGTTGAGCTCCAGCCTCGTCTGAAGGCTTTGTCTGGCAATGTGTTGGTAGGATGAAAACGTGTACTCGCTTGCGCTTTTGGGCGTTGGCAGCTCCTCGGTTTCTTCGTCGAACTCGTCGTCGTCGATGTTGCGCGGGGCCTTTGCATCAATGGGCAGTTGGCTCAGAAGGGTGGGAACGCCTTGGTCAAATGATGCTTGGAGGTCAAACTCCATAATCGTTGCCCATAGCCTTCGGCGCATTTCTCGGTAGTAAGGCGTGATTTTGCCCGATACCTCGTCGCCGTCGCGGTGTAAGCCGACCATGATACCTTCTCTCAGCAGGGAGCCAGAATTCGTCCAGTATTGTTTCTTCTTTATGACGTTGGCTCTTTTTGCAAGATATAATAAGCACATCACCTACATTATCTTGTTAGTCTCTGAGTAACAGTCACATTCGGTTGGGGAACAGAGGTATGGAAGGCCCGTGTAGAACTGACCTGATAGTGCAACATCTTTCTGTGCTTGTGGCTTTGCTTGGCCAACCACACATCACACGCTTTTGTCCATCGTTCGGCCGTTTGGAAGGCATTTGATTTGACGCCGACATATTTCGACGTCGTCTGCATATCCATACAGGCTGATGTGGCGAGTACAGCCAGAAGTAGCGCGGTGAAGGCACCAGTCCTTGTCGGGTTCGGTTCCCAGAACTTTTCATAGTCGCGCTTGAATGTAGGCACGTGGACGATTCGATGCAGTTGTTCAAACTGATCAAAGTAGACGGCCACCAGGGAATCGGTCTCCTCTCTCGATGGTACAAGGGCCTCGAGGTCGGCGTCTGGTGCCTCGAACAATCTTTGCCGGTTTTCGCCCCTCTTCTTGCGGTCCTTGTTGGCAATGTTGAGCGGACGTAGCCATTCTTCTGCTGTTTCCCTCATAAAGGGCGTCAAGCCTGTCAACTCCCGGAAGCACGACCAGGCGTTGTGCGGGCCAAAGAATCTAGTCTTGAAGTTGTGACCTCTGACAAACTTGAAGTCCAGTCCATCCGAGCCTGGCTTACACCGCCGAAGGAACGACGGCACCGGAATGTCTAGTGGGCTGTCCTTGGCGACGACATCCTTGGCCGTTGATGGCGTCGCTGCTATCGTCGTGCCGTCTACTGATGTCTGCTTTGCCAAGGCGCTTCGCAGTTGCGCAACTTCGAGTTCCAGTTTGCGGATGCGGTCGTGATCCTTGGCGGCATCCTTGAGCACGTCTTGTTCTCTCCGCATGCCGGGGCGCGTCAAGTCGACGGGGACAGTCCGACCTCCAGCGACTCCTACATTTGATCCATTGGCGACACCAGCAGCAGAGATGGGGACAACAGTCGCGCCGCCAGGTCGAGTCTCGTATGTACACTTTTCCGGTGTGCCGGATTTGATACAACGATCGCAAGGCAAGTCTCTTGAGCAGGACAGCTTGCGACGACGGCACTCTAGGCATGAGAGCCTCACTCTCTGGCGTTTCCTGGGTCCGCCGTCTTCGTGCTGGTCATCGTCGTCCTGAGTGCCATCCTCGGAGGGCTGTGGATGCTTTTCTTGATCGCCTGCTTGGCTGGACATGGCTGAGGCTGAGCTGACAAAAAAGATCTCGGCTCGGATTATGTCAAGTATAGGTAGACGATAGACCAATAGTAAGGGAAGGGCGCAGACCAGTTAGATCCAGGTAATGGGCTCACTGTCCACAAGTGCGCGTGACTAGATGAAGAGGTACCCAGCAGGATTAGGTGGGACTCAAGCCACAGAGTAAGGATCTTCGGTTAACGGCCTATCCTGTTTTGCTGCGTGTACTTGGCTCTTATCAGGGTGCCTGAGAAAAGAAAATTGGTTATAGAAAATTGAGTCCGAGACAAGAGTGTGCCGTACTATATTGCAGCGACAGAGCCCCTAGACCCTGCTATACTTTTTTCTTGCTTGCTGTGTAAGCCACGTCACCGACTTCGGTGTGCCTCTTGTCTCGAGTTCACATAGAGATCAGATTGATTAGATTGTATGTGACGAAAAGCGACATTGCTGTCAAGTTGCGCAAATGGGGCCTCCGAGAAGGTATTGTACTGTTTAGTGAGGTGGTAGCCTGACAGCTAGTGCTGAGTCCGACATTTTGCTCGGTCTCCGAGGCTTGTCTCCGAGCTTCATTAGTCATGCCCTGTCCCGTTTGTGAGAACTAATCCCCCAGCGATCGTCTTCATGTGCCGTATCTCGGCACATGCTGGAAGGAATTTATGGTAAATTTTATACTCTTCCGTATACGATACTATGACCAACACTTGCGTCGCACTAAGAATAGTATAGTATAATAACTTTCAACCTGTTTCGGTAGGCGTCCCGGCGAGTGCCCGGTGTAGTCATACTGACAAAGAAAGGGACAAACCTGAGCAGCCAATGATGGCGCTCCAAAGCCCCAGATTTCGATGTCGTTTCTGGAGTACTAGTGCAATGGGTCCAATGCTTTGCTGGATATAGCAGGCGGTGTATCCGGAATACTGCCGAAGAGCCTCTGGACAACTGTAACACATGGCAGTATCTGCTCATCAGTTGCTTTCGGCACTCTGTAGGACCTAGGTACACGCCAAGGTTGTATTTAGCAAGCGCGGTTCATAGCGGGCGCATCCTTAATTGCTGATACCGTGTGTGCCTGGCGCTTTGGTGAGATGTGTCAAAGCCTCGAATCCCTCGAACAGTAGCGCGGCAACAAGGTCAGACAAGGGAGACACGCCCGTGTCATTGTTTCTTCTCCTCGGAAAATCTTCATGATCATGACTTGAGGAGTAAACCACCAACCAAGCCATGTGTTGTTCGCTGGCTTCCATGATATCGGGCTGCCTGCTCTTGCAGGTAGCTTTAGTACAATGCGCAATCGTACCGGGTAAAGCCTTTGATCGATTCATCAGCATATGGCTCGAGAATCAGGTACGTTGGGAGTGCTTGATTCGGATTTTGTAATCTGCCCATTCCCGAACGCAGTACTAATGTGTACGATCAACTGCAGGACTTTGCGAAAGTAATTGCAGACCCCGACTTCATCGATCTCAAGCGATACGGTATCTCGCAGACGAAATACTATGCACACACGCATCCTAGCCAGCCAAATTACCTCGCATCGGTAGCTGGCGACTACTTTGGTCTCAACCATGACGATGTGGTGCGACTGCCCTCTAATGTATCTACCGTCGTGGACTTGCTGGAGGAGAAGGACATTAGCTGGGGAGGTTATTTCGAAGGTAACCCAGGACCAGGCTACATGGCTGCTGGCAGCTATGCAGTAGACGGCACCTGGGACTATGTCAGGAAACACAAGTAAGTCGATCTTGAGGCATCATTTCTTGAGAAGGACCGTGTGGGCAGCTCTTCTGACACGCATATTCGCAACAGTCATTTCGTTTCTTTCGACAGCGTCAACAAGGAGGGCCTGAGACTCGCAAAGCTACTATCGTTCCGCGACTTCCAGCGGCACTTTGCAGCGGGCATAGTCCCGCAGTTTGTCATGATGTCGCCAAACATGAACAACGACGGACATAACACAACTTTGGAATATGCGACCAAGTGGGCACACGAGTTTTTGCTACCGCTTCTAGCTGATGGAGCCTTTGCCGAACCGACGGTCATTCAGCTGACGTATGACGAGTCCGAGGACTATGGCAAGCCCAACCAGATCGTCTCGCTGCTGCTGGGCAACGGTATTCCCAAGTCGTCCCAGGGGACCGAGGATGGTGAATTTTACACGCACTACTCGGTGCTCGCGACAGCCGAAAACAACTGGGACTTGGCCAATCTTGGACGATACGATGTTGGCGCCAATGTGTTCAAGTTTGTGGCTGACGTGACAGGATACGTCAACAAGGACCCGGAGAATGCAGACAGCGTGGACAATTCGATATCGTATGCCGGATTTCTCAACAATGAGTCGTCCTTGGAGGTACCGCCCCCGAATTTGAAGCTGACGGGGGCCGGTGGGCAGCCAATACTCGAATCCATCCGCAAAGCATGGCAGACGGACGAATTCAAGGCGTCGCCCTACGATGGTAGTGGGAGGGTCTTTGATGGTGACAAGAATGCGCCCGAGTACAAGATCCAAGGGTGAGCGCCGGTAGAGAAATGAATCATGAATCCTGTCAAACTGCATTTACACATCTTGGTATTCGCATCATATCATGAGCGTAAAAGTCAATTCAACATGTTGATGTATAGACTCCATTTTTGCATTCACGTGGCGCAATAATAACGCAGTAGAAATTACGTGGCTTCAGAAAAAAACATGTAGAAATTCCATGACGCTTTATTTATTTGACCGCTAATCACAATGCCGGTGCACCTTTTCCAAGGGCACCGTGGCAGTTTGGGGCATTCCTTCCTCTTGGAGTATTCATCGACGTGCGGTGCCTGCCTATCTATAGCCCCGACCGCTTCTTTTTTTCTCTTTTTCTTTCTGTTTTTTACACTTTACGCATATTGATCCGCATCTTAAGCAGCAGCCGAGACCTCAGTAGGAAGCTCAATGCTCCTGCTGACACCGTCAACCTCACCGCTGTTGACCTTCTTGCCCGTCTTCTTGATGGTCTTGAGGACGGTCTCGTAGTCGAGCTCGGGCTTGGCAATGACGGTGGCCTCCTGCTTCTCGAGGGAGACGTCGTAGGACTCGATTCCTGTACATCATTTTTTCTGGTTAGCCCTTGGCCAGTGTTTGGGGAGCAAAAAAAGTAGACATGATGTGCAAAGGGGCGGCTCAGTTCGGCATGATGCGCCAGGACGCTCAGCATTGTCAAATCACTCTCCTCCAAGACGATGCATTGTATGCGAAAAGGGTTTGAACTCACCATCAAGCTTCTTGAGGACTCTATCAACAGCGCCGGAGCAGCCGCCGCAGCTCATGGAGACGTTGAACTTGTAAGTGTGGTTGTCGGCCATTGTGATGAATGTGGTGATTTGGTTTGTGTTGGTCGGAATGTCCAAAGGTGGGGTGCGCGGGGTGTTTTAATAGTTGAGATTCGGGATCTCTTAACAAGGTCGTCGGGTTCTATTTGGTTGGTGGGGGGTATCTCAAGGTGTTGTTCAGGTATTACAAGAGAGAAGGAGAGATATCTACAACCAAGGCACGTCTTTATATATGAATGAATTAGCCCCCGTCTTTGTTCCGCAGCTTACCTATTACTACTCACTCTATTCCGTACGCAGCACTGGCATTATTACTAATGGGGGGGTTGAGCAAGTTTATCACACGGACACGGCGGCAGAAGGTCGATCTGAGCCAAGCTGACTGACCTACAACAGCCACGTCCGCTCCTTTTGGAGGAGGGGTCCTACTACTACTACGTAGTACCATTTTATTATTAGCCTAGTGCTAAGTAGCACGCGAACTCCGTATCAAAAGTCGACATCGCATACAGTGACAGATCACAAAGATGCACTATTGCCATCGCAATCATGATTGCAAATCAGCATTTTAGCCAGTGGCTTTCCCGAACCTCTCGTGTATTATTCAGCCCCCATCCTGTTCCTTCCGCACAGTGCGGCGCATCCAGCTCACAGGGAGCGCTGAAACGAATCGGTAAAGACGACTTGGTAGAGGCTGAAACTTGCTCAATGTATGGGCTGGTAATTTTAAGCTCGCTTTGAAACCTGCCCTGTTCATTGTCTGGTCTGACCATTTTGGACGACAATACGGCAAATCCAATGTCCAAAAGAAAAGACACAGTTGCAAGATCTAGGTTCGAGGTCGCTTTCGTATTGCAACATAGAATCAATATTTGCTCAATATTGCAAAAGCCGGGCATGCGCGTACGTACATGCCATCCCATCTCGATCTGCACTGTACCTGATCAACGTGTATGCAACACGTGGCCATCCCGCCACGGCTCCCGGGTACTCCAGTCTTGGCAGGCATCTGGGGTCCAGTATTCTCTGCATAGCTATAATACTTGACGTTACTGATGACTATATTCCTATTTCAAGGTTTTTTAAGATCAACAAATCGCGAAACATCAACCTCTGCTAGGCATGTCGTCGTCGGTATCGTCCTCAACTGTCGCTTGCCTGCCCCCATTGTTATTGGAATTATTCGCTGAGCCTGGAGCAACATTTGGCAGATCAACATCCGAGTCTTCTAGTGCCTCTTGAATAATAGCGGGCATGTCGTCATCATCGTCGCTATCACTCGGCCATCCACCAGGTGCCATGTTGCTGTGCTGTTGCAGATTTGACGTGCCATCAGCCGATGCATGTGCAAAACGTGTAGGCATGATGTAGTCGACAAAGGCCTCCCATCTCTAGTAAGTCGATGTGTTAGCATCTTAAGTTTTCCCGCGGTCGAGTAGAATCTCCAGCAAGTGCTCGGACTGCAGGTAATATAGGTATTTCCCGAGCCAAATTATGGGACCGGGAAACAAATTCTCAGAAGCAGAATCATCCAGAGAAACTGCAAAAATTGAAGACACCACGGGGATTTAGTACTTACTCCACGTTGTTGTTCTTGGTTGGTGTCGTCCTGCTCTTCATCCCGATCTTCCTCTTCCGAGTCATCTGCTGGATCGACCACATTGCCATCAGCATTCGGGTCCAAACCTGCCATTGCTTCTTCCAAGGCTCGAAGTGCGTTGGGTGGTGCGCCTTGTCGTCGCGCCATGTCAATCATGCGTAAGATCGCATTCCGTCCGCCCACATTGGCCAAGTTGAGAGCTTGTAGTCCCGTCCCAGCTGCGGGAGGTTCTGGGTTCCATGGTAAGCACTGGGTTTCGTAAGAAAAGATGTTGTCCTCCTGAGTAGGTGGAAGGGGGTCAAAGTCCCAGTTTGGAAATCCGTGCAGCATCCCTCCAGGAACCAACCCCATCAGTGCCGGCGTGTTGTCTAGGTAGACGAAGCGGCCAACATTGCGGCCAGCAAGCGGTGGCGGTGGCAGGGAAGCTATCGCTGGCTTCTGCGCAAGGCTGGCAGCTTCCTTGAGCAATCCAAGGGCTTGTGAGTTCTCCCACAATTGCTTGGTCTGATGGATATATAATTCAGTGAAGAGTTGCTCGTGATCGTCGCGCGGCTCCATGCCCCATATTGCACGTGGAACATCTTGGTTGAGTGACTTGAAAAGAGCGCTATACAGCCAAGGAAGTCGTTCCATACCCTCGACTGCCAAGGCCTTTGCACCCGCGGTATCCTTCTGCTGCAGCCGAGCAAGCACAACAGTCTGCCTAATGTAGTCCTGGGCAGTGTCGCAGTGGTCGAGCGCTTCCGAGTCGCAGAAATCAATAAACCATTTCGACTCGTGTGCACGGATTGCCAGTGGATGCAAAAAGTGGATGACGCCATAAGGATCACTCAAGTCCATGCTGAGAAGAAGTTTCGCCCATTCCAAGGCTGTTCTGTACGTTCCCTTCATGGTCAAGCTCTTCAGGTAGTGATACACAGCCAACCAGAACTGTCGATTCTCTGGTCTTCTAAAATCGAGTCGTGCCTTGCCCTCCTCCATTTTCTGGCGAAAGGCTGATATCGATACTCGACCGAAAGTGAATAGTGCTCTTTCACACAGATCACCAGCCAATGCATTGTTCTGGTCCTGCTTCGCCACCTTGCTAACCTGGATCAATGTGGAGATGTGATACGGGTGCCGATGGAGGAAATGGACAAGCTGCATAGGGTCGTACATCTGTACAAGCTGGAAGAAAGTTGTTTCGAGACTGTTGTAACGCTCATCATGCGCGAATCCAAATTCGACAGTCCCACACTTTGTATCCATGGCTCCATCGTTGATTTGCTTCATAGTGAGGCCATCTGTTGCAGCGCGTGGCCATATCTCCTTTCCGGGCAAAAAAGGGTTGCGTCGAAGGGTGACTTCTGGTAGCGATTTGCCTGGCACACCTTTGAGGTAAGTCTCGAGATCTACGTTCTGCTGCAGCTGCTGCATGCCTCGCCGCCTGGTGCGATTGTGCTCCTCTTCCTGTTCTTCGGCATGTGCGGCCTCCATGGCATCCCGCCCAAAGAGGTTGCGCATCTCGTTAAGAACCTTCAAGTGGTAGGTATTGATGCGCAAAAGCTCACAAATCCGTTCGTAGGCTATGGTGGCCGGTGTTGTGACGGCGTGGGCTGCATTGCCAGACGCTTGCGCCTTCAAGTTGAGTTCGCGGAGAGCTTTCTCAATCTCGTCATCATGCTCGGCTTCGGCGGGTGCGTCCTTGCTGGAAGTCTCCTCGACGGCCTTTTTGGCCTTCTTCTTTTTCTTCTTGTTTTTCTTGGCCGACGTCTTTGGGGCCTCTACGGGCTGTGGCTCTTCCTCCTTCTCAGGCTCCGGTTCTGGCTCGTTGTCCTCGTCGTCATCGTCTTGATCGTCGTCGCCACCAAGAGCTGCGAATCCAGAGAAAAGACTAGGTTTCGGCTTGGCGATTGGTATGTCGTCCTCGCTCTCCTCACTCTCCTCCAAGGCTGGCTTTTCGAGAGCCTCGAGCTCCCTCTGCTTCTGCAGCTTACGGAGCTGCCTGCTGGACATGATTATATTTGTCGCGACGGTTCAAGGTACTTCAAGAATTCATAAGAAGTAGCTACAGTAACCCGGGTGCGCCTAAAGTTCAAGTACGCACACTGCGAAGATCTTGCTGGGAGATTGACGAGGGAAAAAGCAATTGTACCTCGCTGGACACCTTGGTGGGATGAGGAATTCAATGGTGGGGCAGGAATGATGTAAACGGCGTGTGTGTCATCGGCAAAATTGCTAAATGGCCTAAACTTAGTGTGGAATATGGACAGTTTATAGCTATAGCGGGCCAATCTAAGACACTACTTTCTTCGCTCTTCTTCTATACTTTTCATATTGCTCAAATATTTCCAAGCGTATATAAAATGTTGTCATTCAGGTTTGTTTCACAGAAGACTGTAGGCAACAGATGCGCTATAAACACGAAGCACAGGCTCAACAATTCGACCATTCCTGTACAAAGTAGCTTCTGCTACTTTCCGATGATTTCTTTCCCCTGCTTTTGAAGATAATGATTCCAGAAAGCATCACGGCACAATTTCGAGATGATAAAAATGAATTACACCGAATATCCTACGCGAATATCGCAAGTTTCGTGCTACATAAACGGACCGTAGATGGTTCATGTATATACTTCGGTCTTTTCAAAAGCAAATCGCCTTCTCAGGAGGTGGTAAGAAGCGGCAGGGTTTGATACTAATCTCCATTATCTGCTAGTATGAGCCTGGAAGCTGACTGTCCAGGAGGAGAGAGATGATCTGCACAGTGGTAGTGTACACAAAATCCGTTTTGTTGGGCACTTTCACCAACTCTGAGTGATTTCGGGGCACCCAGTACCTGTTCTCACGACCAATGACTCCCTGATCATCAACCCTTCATTGAGGTGTAGCTTCTGGTTTCTAGTGAATTCAGATGAGAGAGCTGTTCTCTAATCGAGGCAGGAGCAGAAGAACTCACCCAAATGTCCGGCGATGGGTTCGTCTCATAGAAATGGTGTACACTCAACCTTTCGTTGCAGAGTGCGAAACGAGTGGCCAGATCTTCCAGGTAGCGCGAAGGTCTGTCGCCTTCATCAAGACAAATACTCCTAATCATCTCAAAATTTGGCTGTTTTCTGACCGCGTTTAGAAGTGACTCGTTTCGAAGACCATTCATAGGTACGCCATAGCCCAGGAAACCGATAGTCTGATCCGAAAGATTGCCAGAAGAGCCGTGCGACCTGTGTTTGTGCGCTTGCACCAAGACCTAGAATCGATTAGCTTTATTGATAGAACTTATACTCAGAAGACGCACTTCTTGAATGATCAACCCGCCCATCGATTGTCCTAGCCATATGATAGGCCGTTCATCAGTCTAAGCAGGCTTGTTAGTAATAGCCAAGCATGTCTGCGGAACTGATTGCGGATATTCACCTTTGTCATTCTACGAAAGTTTGTGACGAAGCTTTTGCAAGTACTTGCAATCTCTGGTACAGATTGATTTGACATTGAGTCTGGTACTTTTGAATCGTAGCCGTACAGTAATATTCGGCAAGACGGGAAGCTTTGCGGTAGAAAATCCCGCAGCCACATTAGATCACCTTGAGGAGCCCTGAATGTTCCAAAGGCATTGGTACCTAAACCTTCAATTGCGATGATACTTCATGATAGTCAGCAATGGTCCCGGCGATTATCAAGAAGCTGGTCATGAATTTAAACTTACTCCAAAGTGGCTGATTCGCCCGAATCGTATAATGGTGTGAGCCCTAGGAAGCTCCTATCAAACTCAAAGTTGTTGTTAACAACCTGATGTTGCAACTTGTGGATAGTTTCAACCAGCGTGAGATTGGACATTCCAGGAAAAGTTACGGTGGCGTGTTTCTTCCAACGCGCATCTCGAGAAGCCCTGGCTAGACTGTGGATCTTGCAGTTCCATGCAAAATATTGCTCAAGGGTTTCACGCAATTGCAACTTGGAAATATCTTCGGGTATGTTCATGACGCGGAGTGTATCCGGCCTATCATCTGGCAATTTCCTGGGCATAGTTGGACGGAGAAATTTTTGAATAGCCTCAGTGGAACTGCTCGTACAATTAGTACAATGTATTGGAGATAAAAGAGACTTGCTTACGCATGTTTCCACGCAGTGGACCTTGTTGTACTTTCGATTTGCTTTCCCAACGATTCCCTTTGATCGTTCGAAGTGTTGATTTTGATCGGCGTCGCATGTGTATCATGTGACGTCCTAGCAATCACAGTGCTTGTTGCAATCTGAAATCTTACTCGGCGGTTGGCACTGTCATCGCCAAGGGGTCTTTTGAGAGTATTCATACCCCCTGAAAGGGCCATGCTTCGTTTTTTCATGCCAAGCATGGGCCGGCCTCCATTAGCAAGATCTAGATCTTGGATCAAAGAATCAAGCTGCTCAACCAAAACTTCACGGAAACCTTGTTCTAGTTCATCTTCCAATCGATGAAGAATACGTCGGTATATGACATTATGTAGATCGGTATCATTTATGTCTTGGCCGGCATCGTCAACGCCAATGTTCGGATCGAGGCAAGCTTCAATAGCCATTCTCGTCTTGTCTGTGAACTCGTGATTGCATCGCCTGAAGACATCCCTTGCATTGATGAATCGTGCAGCGAGATCGTCTTCGTCACTAGCCGACACATTGCAAGTCTCTGAGAGGATCCTAAATGGTGTAGCTTTATGTACTTCCATCAGGACTATAGCAAGTCCAATCAGGTAAGGATATGGAGGCAATAAGAGGTCGTCTGGGTCGAATTCCTCTTCATCTCCATCATTCGCCCTTTCTGATGAGGACTGACCTGTAGCCTCATCGTCACCCAGTGGTGTTCTGATATAGGGGCGCATGGGAAGGCCATCAACTGATCTGAAAAACATGACGTTATCTGAGCCCCACGTTGGTGAAAGCCATGATGTTTTGTGAAGATGAAGGACAGCGTAACCGAGCATAACGCTCAAAATACGTTTGATTCTCTCGTTGAGCAAGGTTACGCCGTCGGTCAGTAACTGTGTGAGAGACACTGGAGCCTTTGATTTGTCGTTCACTAAATCACTCTCTTCTGATTGCAGTTTCCAGAGACAGTCTTCCTCCAGACAAAACTTCAGTCGATAGTCCGGGAATCGTCTTTTTGTATTGAGGATGTCTTTGCATAATTGATGGACGCGGCGTCTCTGGTCTCGGCGCCTTATGGATCTGCCACTATTCTCTCCTGTTGTCTGATGCCGAGGGACCGCTGAATGCATTGGCGCACCAGTTTGTACTCGAGCTTCTTGCCAAGTTTGTTCCAGTCCAAAGTAAAGGTCAAAGTCGCAGCTAGTCACTGGTTCCCTGTGTGTTCCCAATGATAGTTGCACGATGTACTTGTGTATAGGCTCACAAGTACACCGGCGTGTGGCCTCGAGCACCTGGAAGAGCGAGCCTGCGGCCGACCGAACATCTTCAGGTGGTTTCTGCCTTATCTTTCTTGGTGCAAATTCAGATTCAAAGATTTCGGTATCTGTCTTTGATAGTACCGCTGTACAACCGTTGGCTAGCAGCTGAAGAAGAGCAAGTTGGTTCTCTTGGTCCCCGAAAGCAATGCAGTCACGTAGAGCATTACGCTTGGCTTGAGGATCGTTGAATCCCATGGCGAGTAGGGTGTGCAATTTTTGCAAGCCGGGAAATGTCCATCTTTGGTCATCTTGTGAAGCGTGAGCTACATAGGGGTCGATGATCAATGAATCTAATCGGTCCAAAGCATCACACACGAAACTCTGGATTAAGCCTGAATGCGTCTTCCCGTCAAGTAATTGTCGAAATCTTAAGCATCGTACAAAGAGTGTACAATAAAAGGATTTGATATCTAGATCGGATGATTCATGCTGAACAAGAAAGTCGGCGACTTGCCGGAAGTCATCTAGTGCGGCGAGTAAGGCTGAGAGAAGTCGAGGAGCATTTACCTCAGACTTCGCCGCCATGTCGTATCCCCAAAGAGCTCTGTCAAAAGATCAGCGGACAAAAGTTGAAGGAAGCTGCACGCCAGTAAGTATCCACAAGTTGTTCTTCGTCAGGAGTCTGGTACATCTCTGACGTTTGATCTTGGTGTTCGTTGAGTTGAATAACTGTATATGTGACTAGGTTAGGTGCATTTTGAACTTGTCGCCCCTCACTCCAGGGTGCAAAACCAATATGCGTGTGGCACTGATGCAGCCCAATGAGCCAATATGAATAAGCGAGCTCAGCGAAGTCCTATGCTGCGGCTGTGTTCTCAGTCTCGGCGACACCTCTGGGCCGGGCATTCAAAGCGGGGTTACAAGTAAGGCTGCAGAACATAGTCAATTTTATATTCCGGTGATGCCACGAAGCATTTCGTACAGTTCTTACTCCAAGGACAATTCTTCTTACGTCCAGAACTCTATACAGCGTCTGAAATGTTGAAAGATGAAAAGGCTGCTCCTATATCCGCAGGTGCCAGGGCCTGTCATATAGCCTTTGAGCGATGCCTCCAGAGTGCTTCTCATCCGATGCTTGGTGTCCGTCAATACTCATATACTGAGGATCAAATGGCGCGATTCTCGATTTGGACATCAAATATGGCCGTGTTCGCTGCTTGGAGATTCAGTTTGGATTATCGTCTTCGCGAAGCAGATGACGTTCAGAGATTGATGCTAGGCATGTTGGAAGTCTTGAAAGGTCGGATATCAGAATGTGTGTCAAATTTCTACTCCAGTTGGTCTTCAGAAGACTGGCTTAACATCATGACTAAAATTAAATAGGTGTAACCTTTATCTCAACCTTGCCTGATACACAATACCACAATCTCCAAGTTTCGTCAATGCAAGTACACGCCGACTTTGAGAGACTGACAACGGCTCTCGCATCTCAAGTTGGGCTATTCCACGAAGTCTCCAACGTGATTCGAAAAGCGAGTAGACAAACACAAAATGAAATCGCTGCATCATCATTTCGTATCAGAGATCAGGAAGGTAATGATTTGGAGAATGTTCTCCAGGGCTTTCTTGACCGCAATATTCGGGATCGCTTTCCTCACAGTAACTCAATAATTCGTGAAAGACTCGCGTCGACCATGGTCCTACGTCGCAGAAGGATCCTGTATCGACGCGCTCGCTACGCAACAACATCAATCGAGCCTCAACAGACGCCAACGGATCCGACAAGAGCAACAAGCCATGTTCATTCAATTTCGAAGAGTGCTACCACATTGAATACAGACAATTTTCGAAGAGCATACAGCCCATCAGCCGTCTCAAGCGCCTCATACATAAGTGTTGGTGCTTCGCAGGATTGGGTCTTCCCATCGCCCCCACCGACTCCAGAAGACCCCTCTGTCGAGGTGACCTGCCCGTACTGCCTTTACGTCCTTCCAGGCCATGAATTTCAAAACGAGACAAGATGGAAGTAAGTTATCACGTCAAAATTTGATAAGGCTAGCTCAAGAATTTATTTCAAGGAAGCACGTCTTGGCCGACCTCGACCCACTGGTTTGTCTATTTGACCATTGCGATGAGCCACAAGTTCTTTACAGTCATAGAAAGGACTGGTTACAGCATATGCACAAGTAAGGAAGAGCTACACATTTATATTTGCCGAAAACTATATTTTTCGTTGTCTGTTTGTTCGTCGCTTCCTCAAATTAATACTGTAATATAGACACACCGAACGTTGGCATTGCAAAGCCAAGTCTCATGGCTTGCGGAAATTTGGAACATTCGAAAAATTCTTACTTCATATGAAAGACGACCACACGAAGAACTATAACGACTCGCAAATAGACCTTCTTGCGGAGAGGGGAATTCAGTCTGATAGGCAACTATTTGAGATTTGTCCTCTCTGCGGAATCTCCGAGAAACATGACAGCGTAACTCAAGGCAACATGATTAGACACATCATGGGTCATCTGAGATCACTGGCTTTAAAATCTCTTCCCCCACTCTACTTGGAGAATGATGACGCCGTGCCCGACGATGAAGATAATTCACAACAGACTCGCAGCACAATCAAGAATTTTGCAAGCGATAATGACGGCCCGTCTTCCTTCGATTGGTTGCTTGAGCCTGAATCTCCATCCTTGGATGTTGTCACACGAGATGGGCCGCACACAATCGAATTTCGTAACAGCCCTTGGGAAGATTTATTACAAACTCAAGCGACAACCTCACAGCCTATTCTGGATCCGGGTCCATCTGCTCTATCAGACGCTATAGCAAGTCCCAGTGAAAACCCACAGTCACAACCTCAAGAGCCGGAAAGAAGAGCGTGGGAAACCTACGAGACTAAAATCAGGGAGCTATACGCAAAGCACACACTGAAAACGGTTCGCGAAATTATGGAGAGAGAAGATGGATTCGTCGCATCGTGAGAAGCCCCTCCTCCCCGAGAGAGATTTCCTTAATAGACTGCTAACACAAAGAGGAAAAAGAGTCCGTGCCTACAGACAAAAACTCGATGAATGGGGTCTGACGAAGTATAAGCCGCGCTACACGATGTCGCAGGAAACGAAGCCGTAGGCAACGAGGCCACAGGAAACAAAGCAACAGGAAACGAAGCCGCGGGGATTGGAAACCGTCAGTGCCTTGATTCGAAGAGGATGTTGAAAGATTATAGCCGTTCTGCTATGGTGTCCGCCAATGATCTTGGATTATTTACCCATAATTGTGTACCATGTACCTCCACCGTACAGTGGACAAACCAGC